GCACATTTGGATGCAAAGAGTGGGGCCAACGAAGATGCAAAACTTTCACAGAAAGAAGAGGCTGTTGTATCTCAGTCAGGGGTTCTGACGCCGATGCATTGGAAGCATTGGGGATAGCAACAGCCTTGTCCTCGGTGTCGAACAATGCTATAGATCTGCAAACCATTTGGCATCGCAATTGTAGCATGCTACTTAAATGCATGCTGCACACACTCAACCCCAAAAGAATCCGGCAGAAACTGCGCTGCTTGCTGCAGAGCTAGCATTGCTGCTATTGCTTGAATTGTTTGTGCCTCAAATGAGTAACATGAATCTGCATGGCAACAATAAAGCGCAATATATTCAAGGATTGAACAGATATGTGACAGTAACGTCTAGTGGTTGATGTGAAGCGCACTCCAGTTGCATTCCATTGAGCTTGCTTCAACACTGCGAAAAGTAACATCCCGTCTCGCCTTGTTCTTGTTTGACAGCCGGCGACGCAGCAGGCTCTGCCGGTCGCCTCTTAAACAAAACTGGCATCCCTGTGCTTCAGTCCTCCACATGTTGGAAAACTCTTAGATTGGGGCGAAGTGTTGGAAGACACCTGAGATACGCCACAGCTATGGTCTATCACCAATGGCTACGGTTCAAACAGCACTGGGCCCTAGACCGCTGTAGTCGCATTTGATGCATTGGAAGTGATGGTGGTGCTTGTCCCCTTTGAGCTTGTCACTGTGGAGTTTCCTGTCATGAAACAGGGAAGCTTCCAATGACATGAAGATTTGCTGCACATCAAATTCAACCAATTCAGGATGGAAATGGACTCCGTGGCACCTGCACCGCTGTTCTGAGGAGCTTCTGCACCAGCCGGCCTTTGGCGTACTCGGTTATGTATTGAAAAACGACGTAGGCTGGATGAAACGAATCAACGACTACGTGGTCAACGAATCATCCAAAACTTGATAAAAACAAACTGTGTTGATCGTGTCTCAGTCAGGGGTTCTCACGCCGATGCATTCGAAGCATTGGGGACAGCGACGGTTTCGGCCTCGACTTGGGCGGGTTGGAGGCTTTGACTTGGATGTGTGTGGTGTGCTCAATTCCACCATGATTCCATTCCAAGTGAACCTCTCATCTGCCAAGCCAAGGCCCCAGCTGATCCCGAGGCTACTTTGTAGGTGATGTGACTTGCGTTGCTGGCGCTGGAGTTGCCTAAAAGATCAGTGTTGTTCACAGGGAGGCGGTACCTTGTGGTCTTCCAATATCCCTTGGATCAATTCCATCACGATCTTCCAGTCCGGACAACTTTGCCGTCAGCAAGAGAGGTGGTCTCTAATTGACTAATTGATATCAATTTAGCAGCAATCTGCTATGTCTACCAGAAACCGACGGCCTAGGGAGAGTCTAAGCGCCAAGCTGCGAGCATTGGCTCCAGATTGCCTTGAGGGGAAGCTGCGCTTTTTGAAAGGCGTTTCTTCACAACACCCAGCGCTTCAGCTACGCGATGCACTTGTTACTAATAGCGATGCCCCTGCTACTAGTAGCTTCCAGCTACTACTACAAAAGGTGCAAAAGGCACATTGTCTAAAAACGGCAAATTGAACGCGGTACACGTCGCGTCTTCCTCAGAATCTGGCGAAGAAAGTGGTCGGGGCGTTGTTGATTTCAAAGGTGTAATCACGGTCGTGTTCGCTGTGGTTGTAGTAGTGCTGGTTGTGGTGGTGGTGGTGGTGGTGGTGGTCGTGGTGGTTGTAGTGGTGCTTGTAGTGGTGCTTGTAGTGGTAGTCGTAGTGGTGGTCACCCTGGTAGTAGATCTTCGATACCAATTCCGCAACCTGAGCATGGACCATATTTCAGCAGTTCAGCACTCTTTGCAGCCCGCAGCTGTGCTCCCGCTGCCAGCGAAAGCCACGTTCCAGGCCTTGAGATGTCGAAGGTCTGGAATGGCACCTGACATGAGGTGAAAAGCAGAACAAAAGAAAACAACAAGTGCCATCCAGGCGCCAGCAAGTCATGCAAATGATGTTGTGTTGCTTGCTGATGCTTTTCTTTTTCGGCCACAGCTACCAAATTCAAGAGCAAGATCGACCGCAACGAAACCAACGGGTTCATGCAAGTAGATTGCCAAAGTGAGAGCTGCACTGACCGCTCAAAATCCAACTCTGAAAGTCATCAAACATGCAAGGAGCACAAAGTCTTCGTCTTCCTCATTTGGATCTAAGTGTCTTCTACCTGAAATACTGCACACCCTTCATGGCTAACCTTTCATGACATGGCTCACGTGTGATAAGGCATACTGCACACCAAAATGTCGGTTTGGTTCTCCAAATCGGAGCGAAGGATCCCAACTCCGGAGATGCCCTGTTTTCCCCTGGGGCTGACACGTAGTTGAAAATCGTACCTAGTTAGCAAAGGTGGCCGATATATCATTGGCACTGTTACTGGTGGAAATAAGCAGTGGACTGGATGCGCATGCTAGCAGGAGCCATTGACCTTCTGGTTACCTCTTCAACAAGAATTCCTCTCCATATTCCAATCAAACTAGGGGCACGGGGGCGGCTCTTCTGTTGGCGCATCCTCATAGGACTGCTCCCCGAGCTTAAAACGCAGCGTCAAATCAATGTCCTGGCCGGATCGGGTTGCACACATAGGTTCTCAAGGTTTTGTGCCACATCCTTCCCTTTGTGTCACCCACCAAACCGCTGTCTAGTGGGGCTGCTACACCAAAAGGCATTTGTAGGGTTCTGCTTGTCACAAAACCATGTGAGTAAGCATTTGTGGGTCACCCTGCCGTGGTTGTTTAAGTCGTCCTGCGCTGCTGATCTCGCCTTGTGGCCATGCCTGCATGGCGTCAAATCGGCACATGTCACATGTGGCGCGCCGCATGTCACGGATGTTGATCGGGCCTCAAAGACTTTGTTGAGGCTCTCCTGCAATTCTGCAATCTTGAAGCATTCTGGTCTCTCCATTTGCAACGAGCTGGTCGGACAAAAGTGAGGCGCCAACTGCGCCAGCAGGCTTTTCAAGGGAAGGCCAGGATGCCTCAGGACGAAGGACTCATCAAGTGATCGGTGCCGGTGCCTGCTGTCTCATCGTTCGCCATTTTTGTGGCAAAGAACTGAAAGAAGCAAGCAAAGTTCGTCGGGGATTTCTTTTGGCAAACAAATCCCAAGACCTGATGTTCATATACATGTTTGTTTTCATATGTTATCGATATGTTCACGATAAGGTGGCCGCATCAACCAAGCGCCGCTTAGATGTTGGCCTCAGGATATGGACTCCACAAGCCTTCAGGAGTCGGCACTTTCTTGGTAGACAGGACTCAAGGAGGGAACCTACTAGCGGTGGCCTCCAACCTAGTAGCGATGGCCTCCAACCTACTTTGTAACGTGGGACTCAAACAAGAACCTTCCAAAAAATGGGACTCTCAAACGCCTGGCCGTCTGGCCGTCTGGCCTACATCCAAGATCCTGGCAAGCCACGGAACGCCTGTGAGGTTTCCAAGGACGTCCTACGCAGGTCGGGACAATGATGCAGGTAGGCCAGGCTCGTTTGGACTTGTTTTGGATCATTTACACTCCAAATTGCCCGAAGTCTGGACACCAAAAAACTACACCAACCGAAACCCCAAGCTGCTTCAGCTGGATCTTTTGACGTCAACTCCTTGCATTCCAATGTTGGTGGAATCGTCTGCAATTCTATTGTATTCTTATAGCATCCAGCTCTTTGGGAACAACATGCAAGCAAAACACATCATCGCTTTACCACTGGGATCACTTGCTCGGCATTCTATAGAGTAATGGTGTCTATAGAATGGTTAATCTCTATAAAATGACTGGCAAGGTTGCTTCTATAGAATGCCAAGCCAAATGCAGCAGTAAGAGATCACTTAAGGGATGGACACGTCAAGCCTCTGTATAAAGTGATCTTTGTTCAAAGAAACTCAATAGCCAAAACCATAGATGCTAGAAAATACAACATCAAAGGAATGAGGAGTGGAGGGCCGTCACGCGCAGCTTATGTGCTGCTAATGTGCTGGCTTGGCCTTTTGTTGTGAGAGCATCTGGATCTGGCAAAGCATCTTGTAGAGAATTTGCGTTCGCACCTCTCACCGCTTTCTGCTATAAAAAGAAGAAGAGATAAATAAACATAAACAATAATAACCTAGAAACACCACTCTATAACTCTATATGAAGATATTGATAGGTGTTCTATATAACTCTCTAAGTCTCCCCCTACACGTCCCTTTCTCGTCCTGTGTCTCAACCCGTGTGGGTTTTCCTACGCCATATATCCGACCTCACCTTTGGAGACCAATGCAGGGACACAAGGCAAAGCACAAAGGAGAGAAAGGGACTACAGGGGAGAACAATTTCTTTTGAAACAACACCTATGTTAAATACGTTAAATAGATGTGGTTTTAGTTCCTTTCACATGTTTTTTCCAGAATTTGTGGTTTCTCCAGAACGATTTGAAACTTTTCAGCTTAAAGCTTGGGGGTCACAGCATGCGAGCAAAATTAAGATAAAAACCCCTTGAGAGAACAAAGCATAGCAGCCAAACAAACTCTGAGACTGATGTATTTTGATGTATTTTTTTCTTTGTTTTTTAGTGAACATATGTTACCCTCTATAAAATGCTTGGCGAGGGTTCACAAGGCATGCCAAGAAAGAAAGGCCACCCAAACAGACAAAAACGTCTCTTTCAAATTCTGTCAAAGCTTCCAGAAAGTCTGCTAAACTAAACGGATCACTCTATACAATGAGGGTCCAAAACGCATTCTTATAGTGTCAAATGATCGTCAAAATTGAAACGCTGCATAATCGTTGCATTCAAACCCGGACAAGGCGGTGGAGAAAGAAAGCCAAAACGGCGCAGCCAAGCAGGGGACAAAGCCCGGACAAGGGTTGACGATGTGGTCTTAACCCGGCAGACACAGACCCCAATAAGGCCCCGTCATAAGGCCCTGACAAGACAGAGAAGAAAGGGCCCACGGCACAGCACACGGACAAGCCCCGGACAAGGCCTGGACAAGCCCCGGACAAGACGGCCAAGCAGGACTCACAGACGCAGGCCTTCCTGCAGCTGTTTTAGAACCATCTTCCCAACCCAACAGGAAGCTGGGTGAAGAACCATGCCTCACCTTGGCCCAGCTCTTCCATCGCCTGACACAAAAGCGAAGCTCTGCCATGGGAGTTCCACGCAAACAATGAAACAAACAAAGATAGATTGAATGAGAACCTTCAAGCTACGTCTTCACAACAAGAACCTACAACGAAAAGCAGCTTGTAAAGCGCGCCCATTGTAAAGCAAAAACAATGCAAAATCTTTTGGCAGTCCCGCCTTTCCACAGACCGTGGGAGATAGTACGGCCTATCAGGAAGTGCATCGACACCCATGCCGAGTGCAACCCTGTAGAACAGAATGTCAGCCTCTCCTTGGAGAAACTGCAAAGGATATCCCTCTAAGCATAAGATATAGCTCCTTTGGCTATACGCAATCATCAAAGGTGTCATTACATCGCCCAGATTTGTCCAGGCTGTCAGTATGCCAAATGCTGTCAAATGCTTCGCTGCTTTCAGAAGCCTATCTTTTCTCACGGTGCATTAGACGTCAGGGCCGCGGAAGGGCACATCACAAAAGTGTCCTCAGGTTGTCGTCGGAGAGAACACAAGGCCACACGTCGTAGAGATCTGATTGATGTGTGCTCAACCTCAAAAAACAATCTCACCCTACAAGATCAAGTGATCATTAAGTTAATCTTGTTCCTAGAACCTTGGTGATGGTCCCAAAGAGCTCTTGGTCGTAATCCAGCTGCGGATGTTCGTTCTTTTCTTACCGGATCTCGACGACCTTTGCAACAACTCAGCTCTCCAAGAGGCCAAGGAAGTCAGTGACGCAGCCAATGTCAGTGGGTATCCATCTCGATGGCGAATCCATCAATGCTTGCAAATCCCGCACCAGCCAAGCCTACCATGGGTTGTTGCTTCTAAGCAATTGCGCAGAAGAAACGGAAACATGAAGTCTGTAAATGCATGGAGCCTTGTATGTCGCCAAACAAATCTCCCAAAGTGAGAAACAGCATGTCACTCTCTTGTTGCAAAGCAAAACACAAAGTGCAATACTACTAGTAGCAAGAAGCTACTAGTATAGCAATTTGCAACTAGTAGTAATGCACTTGTTACTAGTAGCGATGCATCTGTCTCACCAGGTCGGGCAAGCGCGCTTTGGCGCTTGCGCCTTCTTGACCGTCTGCCAATCTGGCCCAAGAATGCCATAGAGCTCCACAACCCACCTTGCACCTCCCGGTAATGGACGATACTCTCCTGGGCTCATGCTCGGTAGGAGCACAAGAAGAATGTGCCTTTCCACTCATTCCAGCAGTCCCTGTGGTGAGATTCTGCGGGATTTAGCCTGTCTCTTAAACACAGAATTGCATCTTCTGCCACGCATAGGATGTAACTGCTTCTTTGTGCACTCTTCATAGGATGTCTGCAGTATGTTTGATTATTTGTCGAAGATGTGGCGTCATTTCAGGGGCTTCCTTTAGAGATGCATTCGTCCAATACTATTTCAGTGATGACTCACAGTGGCCACGGGGTGCTCTACTGCTGCCAGTGGCTTGCTCCGTTTTTTCATTCGACCTCACATCGCCAAGCACTTTAGCTGGCTGGCAGACCGTCTCCCCAATGAGCTCCATCACCTTGTCCGCCTCAAGGGCGGAGTAGAGTCGAGCACAAAGAGAAGGGTCGACAGGCAGTTCTAGACTTACGAGAAGCTACTAGGAACAGGTGCATTACTACTAGGAGCAAAATAGCTACTAGGAACAAGAAGCTACTAGGAACAAAGGGCATCGCTACTAGGAGCAAGGACGCTACTACTAGCTCCTGGCATTACTACTAGAAACAAGAAGCTTAAGCAAACAAAGCTGGCAACAGGAAAGTGTAGAGAAAAACCCGGATAAGTAGATGAACAGTTTCTGCGGAGCCGCTCATTTGTTGCGACACCTGCAGACTAGGCCCATGGCCCGTACCTTATTTTTTTTATATCCTGGACCTTCCAACTACAAGAAACATCTGGTCGTTTTGGTTTTATGGTTGTTTTGGTCATTTTGTTTGTTTTGCGTTTGTTTGCGGATTGTGGTGATCGTTTGCTGATTTTTTCCGTGCGTGTTGCGCTCATTTGCAGTCGTTTTGACGTGTGCGCTGTTCTGTCCGCCGTTTGCGCGGAAAACCGGGTTAATATACAGTTTTCAAAGCTACCATGCTTGTTTGGTCGTTTGAAGATCCAGGATCACATCTTTCCACATCTTCAGCGTCCCTTAGCCCATCACCGAACCGTGTGCCTTTTGAAAGACATTCCGTCTCAGAACCGCTACATCGGCCCTGGGTGAAGGCTGTATGGTGAACACCAAAATCACGACCATCAGTGGATGTTCCAAAATACCTGTGTCACACGCAAAATGGACCGCACAGAGACCTTTCATGGCCTGTGCCCCGTGTCAAGGACGTTTTGACCGTTTTGATCGAACTCCCAGGACCACCTCCCGCCGCACCTGGTACGAAGTGCTGCGCCAGTGCGGCTGCGAAGGCACCAAGGTACGAAGTGCTTAGGCAGTAAAGGGGTCGGTGTCGTCCGTCCCTCCCTGCAAAGGATCGCGTCAAAACAAGGCGCAGCATACACGGTTGAAGGCTGACACTTACAAATTACTTCCAAGTACAGTATGTTGCACTATCTATTGTGTGGGGGCCCTATCTCGTTTAGACTACTTTAGTAGGAAGTCATGTCACACTACTACTTTTGTAGCAAATCACTCTATCTCGTTCAAGCTGCTTTAGTGTCGGGGCCCTATCTCGTTCACCAGCGAATACTGATGTTTGGACAAATAATTAGAGCATGCCGTAGACTACTGTAGTCAAGACCAAATAACAGTGACTTGCTCATCTTCTTTTACCAATCTCGCAGTTCTCCACAAGCAGAATCTCAGCTGTCGTGCCTTTCGGTCCCGTCGACTCGACTAGTCCCAGTTCGACTGACAAAACCAAGCACCAAAACAGGCACCCAGTACGCCAAATGCAACGAACCACCTGACACACGCCATTGTTCGCGGTGTAGCCCCGACCACAAAAGCATTTTCCTGCTTTGCAGGTGGAATGAGGCACCGTGCAGTAGCCCATGCGGCAAGTTTCGCCCGTGCGGGTGCCCAGCGCAGTGGTGGGTTGTTCAGACTCTGATCTACCTTGGGCCGTGCCGGTGGCCGGTGGCCATGGGTTCCAACGGCTGGCCGGTGGACATGGAAGACCAACCCCTGCTGTCTTGGGGCTTCTTCGCTTCGGTGAACCTATGGTAGTTAGAGGCATGCGGTGAACCTTCAGTCCAAACTCCACATGCGGTAGGCATGTGATCGAACCCTGCTTTCACAACTTTCCCTTTGAATTTGGATGTGACATCAAGTTCGCTTGTTCGATGGCCCACGCGAAGGTCTCGTTGTATCTTGATTCTGAAGGTTCCTTCGTGTCAAGAACCATTTTTCAGGGAAAAGCTACACTTCTTCCTCTGTCGCACAACTCCCAGGATTGCTCGCATCTAGGTTGGAGGCCATCGCTAGGTTGGAGAAGCCTAGAATATCCAGCATAAAAGATGTAATACCTCCAATTTGTCTGGTGCTGCGGCCGGGCACTCACTGGCCGGTGGAGGCCTCGCTTGAATTGGGATACCAAACCAAAAGGTTTCTGAACGTGTCTTTTCCTTGGCAAAAGACCTGCAAACCTGGTGCAGGACCCCTCACTCGTCCCCAAACCACCCAGTCAAATAGATCAAGTAATAATTCTATACCTGGTGGATCCTGATCGGAGCGTTGGCACATCTGCACATCTCGAAGTGTTTCGTTTGCATCTCTGCCAAGACTCAAGTGCCTGCAAATGCCAAATACCCCTGGCCGCGAGAAACTTGGAGCTGAAAAGATTGCCCAGAATAAAGTGGTTTCACAGTATAGATTAGATGGCCCAATCCCAAGTTTGGTGGTTTACATGGACCCATATTAAGGACATCTTTGGGTTTGCGCAATCTATTCTGAAACCACTGTAGATTTCAGTTGTGCACTCTCTAACTACAAAGGTTGGTATCTCTGTTGCATCTTGACGCGTCCAAAAACATTTTGTGTCATCAATCAGAAAAGGAATGATGATTTCACCTCAACCACATCCATCCCATCCTGCTCTGGCTCCCTTGGGCTCGGTGCCTCCGCGCAAATGCACTTCAAATGGTGACAAATGGTAGGCCCTCGACTCTGGTCACAGTTCCAGAAACTGCAGGTCCTCAGTGAGATGCATGAAGTCTTGGGGTTGTGTATACTCAAGGAAGTCTACAAAACGACTTCTAAGGCTGAAGTTCCTGAATCAAACGAATTACAAATCTGAAATGGTTTCGTGGAGGACAAACAAGGATAAAACTCAGTCCTTGGGACTGGGCTGCTCTCAGGTCTTCGTTTTGTTCAAGACCCCACCGATGGCAAAAAAGAGAGAGAGAGAGACAAAAAAACAAACAAATAGAAAAATGAACAGAAAAAACAGACACGTTAAGAAACAAAAGAACAAAAAAGGAAGGGAAGGGAAGGGAAGGGAAGGGAAGGGAAGGGAAGGGAAGGGAAGGGAAGGGAAGGAACATTCAAAAAAGCAAGGAAACGAAAGGAAAACAAAGGCAAACATGTATCTATATATCTAACCTCAACTCAATCCTCCCTTGTCTAAGAAATTTCGTGAACATATGCTACTGTCCCAAGAAATCATATCAATTATCATGGACCCACGCATTGGAAGGCCCAAAACCCTTTTTGCACCGTCGTGTCGGCAGGTGAATTCGTCGTTTTTGCTCGCCGCAGTGTCCCACCGGTGAAGCGCCCATAGTGAGAGAGATCTCCCCAGGCGGTGGGCTCATCGTCCCAAGCTTCTCTCCTCACGGGACTTTCACTTGGACTTTGGTCTTTCACTTTCACGTGAAAGTACTGATCGATACTCATCAGCATGGGAAGAAGGTGTAGAAGAAGATCATCAGCATGCTTCTTCTGGCAGCGGGTTTGGGTACTATGAGGCACAAATGACAACTGTGCGGAACAAGTTGAAGCTGAGCGGGTTCAGAGGCTTCAACACTCTTCGGTCGAGTGAGACCTGAACCACATCCTCCAGAATCAACACTGCAGTTGGCGTCTTTTGAATATATGTTGCAAATATGTTGTAGCTGCATTATTATTCGCAGAACAGCACTTTCAGCTCAACTATGTGTCTCGGTTTCTCGCTCGTTCTGGTTTACAACTTATAACCTATCATCCCACGAACCATTGCGAGGTGAAGAATTGCATCTCTCCTAGCCGTCATGACAGCTCGTCTTTCTATGTGCGGTTCTTTGTGCGACAAAACTCGGATCCCCATTCTAGAGGTAGGTTGACCTCCCCAGGTAGTCTATTCTGTTCATTTTCTCTTGTCAACCAAGGTACTCCGGTTTTGGGACCCATTCCGATATAGCCACGGGACATGATACACGCTTCCACTCATAGGAGTGATTCCCGATTACCGGGAGGTTGGGATCCAAATTGCAAGACTTTCAAGCAATGCTCTGATAAAACCTCCCTGAAAAAAGAAAAGATTGTCCTCCTGTGTCAAGATCATTTGTAACCCGTCCCTTTGTTGCAGCCAAGGTTCTCTAGTTTGATGGTTTGTTTTTTTTGTGGCTGAGTATTCTATGTTATTCTCATCTGTCTGCCTGAGTGAAAGCCTTTCGTTCGCTTCCTCTGATTGTTTCCCTAGCGGGGTGGACTTTTCTCCTGGTATTGCTTTGTCAGCTCTATGTGTTGCATTCCCATGTTGTCTTTGTTGTTGCGTCTTCTTTTTCCATGAAACCTTTCACCAAGGTTTGGTGAACATCCACCTGAGCCATCAACGCGGTCCGGACCGTCCACGTCCCATCCCTCGGGCCACGCCCCGCGCTCCTGGAGCCTGCTTGAAGCCTAGGCGCTGCGAGACGCGAGCCGGTTCCGACCAGCCAAACGGAGCGGCGGTGCCGGTGCGGAACCGTTTTGGAAGACGAGGCGGTGTGAGGCGGTGAGGTTGGTTTCGGCCATGATTCGAGGTTTCGAGTCTCTGGTGCAAGACAAGTAGTCTTCACAACCTGCCTAATTTGCCGAACCGCGTGGCAATTCCAAACTGCATGAGCCATCAGCAGCCTGTCAGGGGCGCACTGCGGTTGTGACCCCACCGGACAGTGTCCAAAGATGTCCAAAGTGAAAATGCAAAACGATAGCTGCAGGCCTGAGTGCAATCTTCATCGGCCTCGAGTGCTCTTAATTCCACATCCTGGCGAACACCAACGGAGTCAGAACCCCTCTGTGCGGTTGCAACCCTGAAATCTGGACTCCACATAGCAAAAGATCAGGTGCTGGAGACCAGGATAATTCATATATATACATATAGTAGTCATTCACCCTTTATACTGTGATTGTTGTTGGTCATCAAGGTTTTGAGAAACATGAAACAACTCTGCACCCGAACCTGGTGGCCATGGATCAAGGCAACAGGCCATAAGCAAAACCTTGGAGCGAAAGACTCTCTTCACGCCTTTCAAAGGTGAAATGTGCTTCAAAGAGCGACAAATGCGCATGTTTTACATGCACATCCTGTTGGCTTCTGAACATCATGGCAGGGTCAATGCAAATCCAAGACAGCTGGCAGGATGTACCTACCAGCTGTTGATGTGCTTTGACGAACACTGCAGTCAAGCGACCAGCGGCGCATCTTGGAGACTGGATGCTGACTGCCCCAAAAGTGAGCTTGAGCAACAAGCGAAGCCAGTGGTGAGGGGTTTCTAATATACATGGTGCATGTGTGAGTTGAAATCTCACTTGCAGTGCTTAAGAGCGGCATCTTCTGCCCTGACGGCATCTCGAAACCTCAAGTCGCCCCAGTTGATACCTCCTCAAGTCACGCCAAAGGAGTAAACCCTGCTTCTCCGTACATCATCCGTGAGATAAGCCCACCCTAGTGCCCACCCTGCTATTCTGTTCCAGGTGCCATTGGCTTGGTTGAATCCTTCAGAGTACTTGATGCCATTGATCGCCTCAGAGGTCGCTACAGGACGTGATTGAGCCAACAAAACCAAACGAAGCCCTGGTCGCTGAGTCAATCAGCTAAGCAACCCAGTAGGCGAAGTCTACATCCCTAGAAGAGAGGTAGCCTTGGAGCGATGCACGTTGGCTGAGTATCCTACAGGTTTCGTCTTGAAAAGGTCTACAGTCTACATCTCTACATGTCTCTACAGTCTACAAAGGGAGCCCTTCGAAGAATCGAAACTATGCAGGTCCACTTTTCAACCAAAGCTAGCGAGAGAGTATCTTGAATGAACTTGTCCATTCAGCCAGCGACGCATAAACTGAAGCCAGAAGCTGCCATGGTTCCTCGAGTTCAAAAGTTTGCTTTGAGCAAACAAAACCGTAAACGTCATCCATCCGAGCCACAAGTAACATGAATGCAGCATCTGAAGGAACTCTTTTGCAGGTGAATGCTTATGTCCAATGCATGTTCAAACATTTGTGGCTGTACGTGACTGTATCTACAGTATTTCAAAGCTCACCAAACATAATCAGCTGCTCCACCCTCTCTCTCTCTCTCTCCCTCCCTCCCGCCCTCCCTCCTCTGCTTCTTAAGCTCAGGCTCAAGTATCCAAATTCACCCATCCAAATAGGTGCAGTGAAGGCTTGGCCTTCTTCCAGAGCAAAGCCCCACTGCTTGTCAAGCCACCTGGCGTGCGACCACCAGAGGCAATGTGCGACCACCCGATGATTCTGATGACATGTTTTTTCCAGCCTTTCATAGAACCAATAAGTATCCTGACTCTATTAACGCGCAGTTCGATAATCTCACAACTATTCTCAATTGTCAGAGTACCACAAATAGATTGTGAAAGAAATCCAGGAACACTTGTTGCAACGGAGTCTCTATGAAGATGGCAGCCTTGGTGGCAGTTCCTCCGTCACGGAGGGAACTGGAGGGATCGTTCGGGTTCAGCCAAGAGGCCAACAGTGCGACCATGCACACCAGGAGCAGGATCACAGACACCATGAAGCATTGCAGGTTGATCACAAGCCCTAGCCAGCCAATTCAACCACAATGGCTCGGCTAGGTTGGTCAACTGCCCCATGGAGAAAACGAGGGGAACTCTGAGATACTCTGTGTATGGGAAACATGGAGATGTCCCCACAACCCCCCTGTAAAACTGGATGGTGCGGATCTCCCCATTTTGAGAAGCCTTGAGTCCCTTTGCATGCGGAAAACGACACAGCATTTTACAATCAACAGCAACCCGTCGCGTCGCTGGAATCCTGGGTCGCTGGCCTCTGTCCCAGGGCCTTGTGATCTCTCGTCCACTTCCTTCCCCGCTACTTTTGCGGAAGAGGTCCGTCTCCTGCCGTCCACGACTCTTCACGAGTAACGTCCCAAGCACAAAGCCGTTCCTCATCGCAGCTTTCATCACTTTGCAGCAGGTTCCTGTCCTCAGTACTTGTCGAGCCCGTTGGTCGAGACAACTGCCTACGGCATGACTAAGTGCATCTACTCGTCTTCTATATTCCTCCATCCTCAAGACTCAAATTGTATCAATGAATATTCTTCGTCATACTAATGATTCCCACAATGATTCATGATGTCTGTGTGTTAGGCCAAGTGGCTACTTGCAGTAGCTCTGCCAGACCTCAGCCAGGTCTTCGACTGAAACTCTCCATTGGGAAGCCAACACGAGCACCTGGGCCTTGCATCCAGGCTGCTGGCCATTCCAGACAGGCGCCAAGATACCACAAGTAGAGCAAGTCCACCCAAAGCTGCGAGGAGCCAAAAATACACCCACCTCACACTGCCGAGTTTGGCTTGTTTGAAACCTGATCTTCCAACATCTTCAATTTCGCCATGATGAAAACGTAAGAAACCTAGAGAGAAGATGAGAGAAGCATTTCTTGAGTGGGAGGTCCTAATCTCTACTACACCCCGATCACCAATCTATAGGGATTAATGTGGCACACCAATCTAGTGCAGTCTTTGAGAGGGAATTCATGCAAATCAGGTTTTGACTTTGCATTGCATGTGTTATCATGTGTTGTTCAAATATCCACACCTTTATATGACATGGGCCCGCTCGGCACGGAGTTGGAGAGTCCAGCAACCTCATTGAGATTAGATTCAGATTTGGATTGGTTTGTCGGGATTTGGACAATATTGGTGATGTTTATAGATAAACACGTGGCAAGAGATCTTGTGGCACGAGATCTTGTGGCAAAGGTAAATCACGTGCCACGGACTTCGACCACTTTGTATGCTGCATTGCATTGCCAAGTAGCGGTAAGAAGTCCTCCTGAGCACCCCATTTGCAATAGGTACACGCCGCCTGCATTGGTTCATTCGAATATTGGATCTTTTGTGTGCAAAGGGGAGCAAATCTCAGGGGACACATGGACGTTTTCCCTCAGCATGTGGCAGTGGGCGACTGACCAGTCTGAGTGGTTTTGATCAACCTTCACCGCTTGGGCCTTGTAGGTCGTGAAGGCCATGGCCATGAAGATCAGGCTAAAGAGTGCTGACCACGCACCTCAGTGTGAGTGACCGCAGGACCCCTCTGCCTCTGAACATCAGAATGAGGCCGACACCAAGGGACATGAGAAAAAGATGCTTTGGAGGATACCCAGTACCACTCCTCAGCTCGCTCTGAACAATTCATGATGAGTGACTTGTTTGAATGGGTCCTGCTGACATAAAATCATTAAATACAATCTGTCCTGTAAATATATATGATGTATTACGGGTGTCTATAGAAATAGCTTTGAGCCATACCACCCACACCGCCCACACAACATGCCTCCTCCAGCGTCTCAGAAGGTAGAAGATCGTGGCGCTCAAAGCTAAGCCTTGGAAGGCGCTCAGCCCAAACGCTGATCGTGGTGCAACATGGTGCAACTGATCGACCCGTCCAATCTGCTGATCCGCTTGGATCATCTGATCTCCTGTCCAAGACTTGGATCATGCAGATCCTGCTCCGCTCCTAGATTTTGTCTCCAGGCCAATTGGTGTCGGCCTTCGCAACTCGAGTCTGAGCTTTCCACACGAAAGCATCGTGATCGTTCTCAGTGTACTGAAGGTGATGCCCAAATCACGGGGTATCAGATTCCAGAACTGATACTCCTCAGGTGTCTCACCAGTGAGCATCTAAGCAAACTCTCTGACTGGAACCAATCAAACTTAGCGAGTTCATGTCCCTGCTGTCCCTGCTCATTTCCAAGGATCGACATAGTTGTGCGTCTCATACACCACCCTGTTTGGAAGATCCAATTTGATCGGATGGGATCCTGCCATCACTTCGGCCGTTGTCGTGACTGGGCACTCGTGACCATGCGCTGACCCTCGCGATCTTCGCTTCACCAAGGCTCACGCGCATTGGACGTAGCTCCATCCCAAAGCACAACGCCATGACGACCTGAGCGTAACGGATGCCAGAAACGCCCGCCATCCAGCGTGGTGCAATAACATCGCGCTGAGCATTCGACGATGATCAGGTCCTGCGAACAACAATCGAAATGTTGAGTGTGGTGCTTCGAAATTGCAGGTCATAACAAGTGCCACGCTAGTAGTAACAGGTGCCTTACTAGTAGTAACAAAGAAGCTATTGGAAACAAGTGCCTTACTAACTACTAGTAACAATAAGAATTTATATAATTGGAATTCTAATTAATAGAATTGTCAATTGGGTGATGTCATGCCTGCTGTTGGTGTCATTGATATTGTGCAACTGCAACTCCACATTACACAGTTCAACCTGCTTAGGACCCCGTCTTTTACATGTAGATTATAAACATAATCATACTCATCCATAATATTATGTATACACACACCCCAGGCACCCCATGCTCCTGCGCTACTATTATACGAATAATTTCATCTTTGTATTCATGGTTCATTTACGATGCTTTCTTATGCATCACCGAATGATCACAGACTTGCAGCCCCTCCTGGTTTTCTGCCAGTACACGATTCCCGGCACGGGTGGCCGCTGCGGCCCAGTCGGTCTTGGGATCATTGTCCTTGGCTACTTAAAGTGCCGGTTTGCCTCATCATCGTCTAAAAGCGTCATATCATATCGACATATCAACGATATCAATATTGAGATGATACTGAATAAATACAATATAACATAATGTGTCTATATCTAAATACATAAAGCATGTATCATCAATTATCATCATGTATCATGAAATAATAAGACATCACAGCCAAACCCGCATCATCTCCGCCAACTCTTCCCCATGCACTCCGTTCTCTCTCCGAAACATCTCTCAACGCCTCGGGTCCGGACCCCCCAGGTCATCATCAAGCCGTTGCCCCACTTGGGATTTGAGTGCAAGTCGTGAACTTCATTTCTCAGATCGATACCCACCACGAAGGAATTCCCTCGGTACCTCTAGCGAAGCAGAAGGAACGCACTGGAGAATCCACTGAGGGATATTCTCATGGGCTAAGCCTGGTACTACTTCATACAGTAAACAGTAAACATGCATAAACACCTATAGCCTAACTGGCCTAACTTCTGATGCCTTCGTCGTCAACCTTGACATGCAATTTTTTGGGGGGCAGCCAGTTGGATCGTCTGGGACTGACCTATGAGAAACTTGTTCACCCAGACTCTGTACAAACAGGTGTCTTTTTGTTTTAATGGCATTCCCGAGCTTAAATTCCCACAGGCCATGGCTATCAAGATCTCCAGTAAGAACATCAGCCTATTGTCTTAATGTCATACCATGTCATACCGCCGACCCGACAGTCGAAGATGTCACCGGTTGTTCTTTTTGGGGCTCCCCAAAAGAAGTGCTGCGCGGGTGACTCCGGGCCTTCTGGTCATGTTCACAAGGCTTTGTATCCAGATGTCTTCTGGATACCCCGGCACATACCTCAAAGGTGCAAACGATCAAGTAGCTTCAGACTTCGTGACTTCTATTCAGATCGGATCAACGTGCCACAATTCTAATTCATCGCTTGGAACATTCTTGAACGTGCCGCAGAGCATCCAAAGGCCCTCATCCTGGGACCAATGGCAGCAATATCCAGCGCGGGAAACATGCCTGGCTCTCCGCTCCCAAAGCTCTGGCTCGCCAATTCCAAACCAGGGCTGTGAATGTTGGAAGTCATGGCACCAATTCGTCCCAGCTCAAGAGAAGCAGCCCCAAACAACCCCACCAACTGGACGAGTTCGACCGATCGGAAGTTGCTAGTCTCGCCGGGGCACTGATCAATGATCACCTTGGGTCAATCGCTTTTCGATCCACCAAAGCCTTTCGATCCAACAAATCGGAGATGACCCGGTAACTCTTATAACTTTAGTATTAAAAAGAAAGCATTACCGCAATTACCGCCACAAGAAACTCGGGTCTTCATGGCAAGAGACACCTAAAGGCTAGTGTCTTTCCCCAAGATGACCATCTGCATGGCAAGTGACCATCAAGCCTGCCTTGGTCAAGGCCTCAATTCCTGCATCAAAGCCATCCAAGAACCGCTTGCCGCTCAAGAACCTGACAGGGTCTGCTGGATCAAACGGACGCAGCACCAGTCAGTCCGGCTCGATCCAGGGTGCTTCAATGTCACCGCAAATCGCAGGAATTCAATACGCAACCTCACATCTGAACTGCTTCAGCCACAAAAAAGCCTCCCTCCCCAACCACGCACTCCGCCTGTTGGCTTTCACAAACTGCTCTTCAAGAAATGGATTCCTCAGGGGATTTTGGGAGGGACAACCATGTCAACCATGCAATGAAGCTCGAGAACTGCTCTTCATACGTCTCTTTCGTCCATGCTACTCCACTCCCAAACGTGGAAAAGTGCAGACATCTGGAGACCTTAAAGCCACGTTTTTGAGCAAAACGAACATCAGGTACCCGCTCCTGACATGAGCCTCCAAGCTGTATGCCACTCTCACGCAATTGAAGCCCAGTTCTGCAATACGCTTCACCTTGAGAACTCACTCCATCTTGCCCAAAGCCACGGTCACACGAATCTCTACAAGGTATCTGCTTTAGGATTTGGAGGGTTTATGATTACGTTTAATTCCCCAACATCTGCAGTTCCTCTAGAGCAGAAAACCTTCAAGATCCGTGCTCACCACTGCCTTTGTCACACATGACACATGACACTGACATCTGATTTTCCTGTCATTCTCCACTGTGGCTTCATTGCACCGAGCTGGCGACGATCTCATCCACCGGGAGCTTCTCCATGCCTCGAACATCGCGACTCGAATGGAGAATTCTTCGAAGCGACATGAGTCGACGTGCCAAGGCCTCCGAAGGTGAAGGAAATGGATTCAGGTCCATACCAGTTCACACACCTGAGTCCCAAGCTGCAAGACTAGTGAATAGATGTGAATAGCTGAAGGATTCCAAAGAATTCACCGAAAAGAATGGAACAACGGCACGTGATTCTGTGACTACAGGAGGCTTACTTATCACTTCAGTCTTTGACCAGGTGAACTGACTTCTGCAGCTACGAGACTTCAAGGACTTGCCACCCAGGCACGCCCATTTCACGCGCTCTCCAAGGCGATCTACAATGAAGCGCCTCAGTTTGGAGAAACATCGAACTTCAGGGACGCCATCCCATGAAACGACCCTCGAACTCACCAGCCTCAAACTCTTCCACCCCCAGCGAACTCAGTGCACCACCCTTCCACCCTCAGCGGAAACCTGGCGGAAGAATCCCCCCCTTCCCGGCCGAGGATCGCCTGCCCGGCCGGGCGAGGCTTCCCGGCCTCTCGGATGGCACCAAGGGCGCGTGGCCGTTGGCCACGCGACATGGGAGCCTAGGAGGCGAATGACTCTGAAAGGAAAAAAACAACTCATAGGAGACAAGTGGTTTCTTCCGCCTTCTTCTTTTTTTGGAGGGTAGAGGTCGACCAAAGGTGAAAAGATCTACTAAATTTGGCTCATATGGATGCATATGAACCAATGTTGAAGGTATAGTGGTGAAATGTGGGATGACATTAAGCACAAATATATGTATAATATATTGGGAGCCGTGTTATTGTTCATCTGTAAGGGTATATCTACGCTGAAATTGATCGACAGTTTTGAATTGCTGGAAGTGGAAACCACAAGCAAATTGCTTACGCCGGTGCAAAGTACCTTATCCTGATGTTCACAATAGAGCCGCCAAATGAACCATGATCGAAATTGTCTTAAAGTCTGTTGTTTGCCTCCGCCATCAGAATGATCAAAATGGCTAGAGTTAGCTGTGACTGTCCAGTTCTCTAGGCGAGATAGGTGGTGCCTGGGGCCAAACAACCCAGGTCAATTCAAACGGACGCCCAGCAAGACCATACAAACATTGCCACTTCACGTTCGACCATCTGCGTGCAGAGACTTCAAGCTTGGTTCCTGACAGGCTCAGAAGTAGGCAGCACCACAGAACCTTCCATCTGTTTCGAGTGCCCTCCTCTTTTTCAACCAAATGCAAAAGCTGCAAGGATACATTGCGGAAAGGACTCAGAAGGATAAGATACAAAATCAACGTCAATCACATCACTAGGGTGTGAGTCCATGATTCCACGGAACAGCTCAACAGTGGTAACGCATGGTAACGCGAGAGAGCCTTGATCGACGAGACCATTGCATCATGGAACTACTCAGGACGCATGCCTGAAGCAGTCTCGCTGATCCGCTAGATAATTTTGGAGCCAAGAACGCTGCAGTGTCTGGCTTCCGATGCGTTGAGCGGCCAATCAAATCAATCTTGCATAACAATTCTTCCCCCACATTCCGTTCAGGAAGGCCTCACACGAGCGAGACAAATCTGCATCATCATATTTCCTTGGCAAAGACAACGACTTGGATTTCTTCTTAGAACGGTGTGAGTTTGAATTCCGGATGGTCTGCTGATGCACATCGGATGGTTTGTGTCGCCACAATGGAATACTCCCATGATACTTCCGAGGAAGCCGGCGCAAAACTCAGCCTCGGCGCAACACTCCAAGCCTTGACGCTTGACTCTAAGCTTCAAACTCCAGTTCCAACAAAAGTTCAGAGCAAGAGGTCATCACCTCCAGAGCTGTCATCCCATGATAATTCTGACACGATTGGATCCGGAGACTACTTTTGACAATATGTTTGGATATTTTGAGGTTTTGCCTATAAGCTACAGCCTACAGCTATAGTCTATCAGTTGCAACATCAACAGTTTTGTCATGCTCATCATCCAAAGATTTAACGTATGATGGTTCTCCTAAGAATGCAAAGAATCATAGCACCAGTGAAGCCATGTTCATCCAATTTGTCCAGCCTTTCACTTGATCTGTCTACATTAATTACACCCAATTCTTTTGTCCCAGCGAACCTCCTTCATTGGAACCAGGAACAACGCGCCCACTGGGAAGGGCACGGCCTAGGTCTGGTGGCTAGGGGGCAGTTTGGCGGTTTAGCTTCCAATAACTGGACACTGACACGCTTTCTTCGGATCAAGACTATGACCAAAGAGTTCGCCTTCTTTGCCCAACATTACAGTGGATGTACCTCTGAAGTGTGTGCAAACGTGTAGTTTGCGCTTCACTGGCTGTGCTTTGAGGTGCCAAAAACCCATCGAGAATCTTGGAGACGTTTCTCAGACTCGGGCAACATGTAGTAGGAACAGCAAGCTCGGCTGCATCCCTAATTTCGGTAGCGATCTCCTGGCGGTTGCTTCAGTTGGCCAACTCCAGCTGCAAATGTTGCTTGCCCCCTTTCACCCGTGCCAGTCCTGCCGGGAGCACCATGATTCTCCCAGCTCTAAGCCGAAGCAATGTACCACAAGAAATCAGTCAGAAAACTGTTTCGGGCACAGCACTGCAAAAAGACCCAATGAATGGAAAGGCAGCAATTGGCTAGCTTCACATCCACTGTATCTGCACTCTCTCCATTTTGGCGGCTGCATGGCCGGCTGGATTGGCACCAGCAAGACACGTCCTAACTAGGTGGACCGATGTCTAACAACGCACTTCCTTGCTCTGGCATAGCCTCAGCATTAACTTGCTGAGTACACGTTTCAGCTTTGGCGATGTCAGCAATCGTCTCAGTTTGGGCGTTGATGTCGGCACATGCTGGAAGCTGTCCCTGCGCAGCCGCTTTTGCGCCTGCATGGTTTGCTCTATCTTGCTTCTGCAGGGGAGAAATATGACACAACATTACACAACCATGTCCTTCGATATGCAATTGTGCTGAGTCAAAAGTCGACCTAAAGTCAGCATGTTTTTATGACAGTGACATATCCTCTAACTCCAGGCTTGAGTCTGTGATTACCAAGAGTCATGCACCAACTGCCACCCAAACACTGGGTGCTGCATCGTGAACCCCAAAATTACAACACGTGCTGATTTCTAGCCGTTTTCGCACAGCATCAAGAGATTTTGGTGCGATATCGCTCACAAACCACTCAATGCGCAGCAGTATTCTCCTTGTCATTCAAATCGACTTGTGAAGGCTGTCTTTTTGCACAGAAAATTTTTCCAGCTAATCAAGGTTCAGGATTGTAACCATGGGTTCCGGATTTGAAGGCAACTTGGAAGATAATAGTATTAGCAGCAGCAGCAGCAGCGGCAACAGCAGCAGTAGTGGACCAACATGCATATTGTGGTAGTAATATGACCTGTGCTAGCATTTCGCTTGCAGCTCCGGAGCCGTGTTCTTGGTCAAAACATTGTGATGCCCCTGGCACCAGTGGATTCTTTATGCGAGTTTGGCTCTATATCTGTGTATGTGTGCAAGAATGGGTTGCTCAATGACTCAATGATTTTGTTTTGTGGGCAAATCTATTTGAGTGTCTTTCTGCCGGTTTGTGCCCAGTTGTGAGATGGAGAAGCCGCTGCTGGAAGGCATGTCCCGCGGTACTCCTGGTGGGCATTGTGCAATCGGTGTGGTGAGCTCTTGGAAGCCATGCTGTTTTCCCCAAAGCCAGAGAACCAAGCTAGACTTGGAACTGGTATCCCGGCTTGAACCTGCAACTGGTTGTGTTTGAGACAACTTGCACACACACACATGTAAGTAGTATTAAGTAGCAAAACAAATTGGCAGCATTAACAGCACAAACCAACATACAAAGCAACACGCCCGTGCTCAATTTTTGCTCAACATCGACAGACTCATGCAGCATCAACCAACACTCCAGCACTCCACCCAACCAACCCAACAAACAAACAAAGAAACAAACAAACAAACAAACAAACAAACAAAACAAGCAATCAAGCAAGCAAGCAAGCAAGCAAGCCAACAACTTTGGAAAACATTTTGCAGGTGGGGCAGCACGCTTAATGGAGCCACTGTGGCCCAGGTTCCACCAAAGAAGGCAAAGGAGGAAGATGCGGGAGTCAAGCTGATCAAGGGCAAAGTGACACTTCAATCGCTGGGTTGCTTGAGTTGGGGCCTGAGCTGAACATGTCATGATAGCAATTTACTTTTTGGCGCACGTTGAGGATGCTTTTCAGCGACGTACACTGACAACAGCGCCTACCTATCAGTCAGGGGGAAGCAGGACAAATGAAACTCTATTTTTCTTGGATTTGGGAATACACTGTTGGTTGTGGCAGGATCTAGCGACGCAAATATGGCACAGCAAACAATACACCCTTTCTTGCAAGCAAATGAACCAGAAGAAGAGCAAGTACCTGGCTCTTCATTATCAGGCAGCTGTTTTGTAGTGCAATACCTGGTGGCAAGCTGTTTGCTTGCAGGCCTACCAGAGGGTTGGAGCTCACCAGACGCCTTGGTCACTCAAAAGCATGTATCCCGTGTGTGCCCTTGGGTGGACAAGCCTGTCACTCTCCTAGACTTTCAGCAAGCAAAACAACTCACATGTTATGTTTGCTCATCAACACTCATGGGTTGTTCAGCAAGTTGGTTGTTCCTTGACTTGGAGTACTTGCAGTTTGGAGCATCAGGTTGCTAAGCACAAATGCATGAGCTTTTTCAGCGGCATTTGCGGCCTAGAGCTGGGCCTCTCTGCGTTCGGGGCTTAATGTTGTTACTGTATGTTCATTTCATAGAGTTTGGAATAGTTTGGATATTGGTGTGAAATGAACAGTGACAAACATTTTATTGTGGTGAATCGTGAAGTCTATAACTATAGTTTTTTTGAGGTTTGTTGTGCCACAATGTTATGTTGGGCCCTCAGGTTAGCACACCTTCTTGGCTACCATGATGTAAACGTTGAGCCAACTTGTCAATTTTATGTTACATTAAGACAGCCCCCAGGCCGAGTGCAACAGCTTCTGTCGCTCAGTCATCAGCAAGCGGATTGAGCAAGGGCTTATCCACCCAGCACCTATCTATGAGGATCTGACCACCTTTAAACATGAGAAAGGCCAGCGCAGGAATCTGTGCTGGTTTCCCCTGCCAAGACACTTGGACTTGCTTTGTAAAACAACAATCTACATCAATAGCAACAAGAATTAGACAAATCTGTGTGCGCTGGTTGCAAACTCAGGGCATTTGCAAAGCAGGGCTCCAGGAAGGATTGAACGACGCAAGATCCGGCCTGGTGCGGTGTGTATGGCGGTTGACACGCTCGAGAATCCGTTCACAGCACGCAAGCAGTGGGTGTGGTTCAACTGTTACTTAACTTTTTGGGTTGAATGATGAGCCCAGGTTGTGGTTATGGCTGGAGAATGTGCATCATCTCCTGTCAGCAGACATGCAACCTTTCATGGAGCACATTTTGCAGGATACATTAATTGTCAGCATAGATAGTTTTTTTTCCCGAATGCGTAGCGAAGGGTTCTCGTTTAACTCTGGGGGTCTGGGGGTAGAGTCTTGTTCGCGATCCGTTGTTTCTATGTTCGCAACCGTCCGCAACCGTCCGCAACCGTTCGCAACCGTTCGCAACCGTCCGCAACCGTCCGCAACCGTTCGCAGTAGGACGCTAAGGCGCTGCCATTGGGGGAAGCTTTTGCAAGTGACTTTTCATGGATGTGTCACGTGTCAGTTTGCGATGCTCTTCCATTGTGATTTGCATGAAAATGACATGTCGCGCAAGAAGCGTGATGCATTTCGCTGCACAGGCGCAGTGGTTTGAGAGATCCGCAGTTTACTGCGCAGTTCCATTGGGATTAGCGTTTGGAGAGTCGTGTTTTTGGGGTGTTGGATGTGGCCGTGCCATTGGGATTTGCATTTCAGGGTGTGGCATCGAAGCTTTGTTTTCGTGACAAGTCTCAGCTGAAATGGCGATTTTGGTGGATGGGAGTGTGCTCAGAACGGGTCGAAATCATTCTAAACGTGTGGTGTGGTGCAAATTTTGTTGAAGCTCATGTGAGATGATATTCTCACTTTTCGTGGCAGGCACAGTACTTTGTGCTGATTTTGAGGTGTGGAAGTGCGATTTTCGTGGCAGGCGCAGGAAATCGTGAGGTTGCGAGGTGTGACGGAGTTGACATTTCGTGGCAGGCGCAGTACTTTGTGCGCGTTAGACGTGTGGATGCGGAAAGATTCGTGGCAGGCGCAGGGAATCGCGAGGTCGTGAGTTATGGTAGAGGTGAATGTCGCTGTCACATTGGGATTGGCGTGTGAGCGGGTGTCGTTTGGAGGGGCTGGAATCGCGAAATTGCTAGGCAGGGCTGCGTGATGTGTGTGCTCCGATGGGTGTTTCCGCTGGACTTTTGGAGGACTTAGATGGGCTGTGGTCTTGCTAATAAGTTAACATAAGTTAAGAACTTTATAGAAAAAATACAACTAGTTAGCATATCGTTAGCTAACGGTTTTTCACCTACAAATTTTCAATGAAA